GGCCAAAGTTTTGCCAGGAAAACACCCAGGAAAGCTTCACCAGAGAGTCCTGCTCCACTGTGACAGCGCCCCTTCGCATTCATCTCTCACCGGACAAGGGCAATTTTGCAAGAGGTTCAACAGGAAATCATTAGGCATCCATCTTGCAGCCTGATTTGACTCCTTCAGACTTCCTTCCCTGTTTCCCAATCTGTAAAAGTCTTTAAAGGGCACTCATTTTTTCCCTTCATTAATAATGTGAAAAAGATTGCAGTGGCGTGGTTAAACTCCTAAGATTAATTGTCTGTCTGCTGTCAGCATGTACAAAAGTGTCTTGATCTTCCTGGTGCTTATGTTGAGAAATAAATGTCATATTTTTACATGTACATTCCCATTTTCACAAACTTTTTGAAATCCTCTTCTGTGGACGCACACACACATGCATGCCAAAAACTATTGTCACACGCTTCAGGGAAACCTTATTTAAAATATAAAAATGTGAAGCTATTGCTTCTTGACATATTCTCCATCTAGGAATGAAGGTATGAAAGCAATGCTTCCGTTTTTCTATCCTCTTCCCCAAGAATTCTTGCACTCTGCGATTTACCACATGTTCAAACAGCTGTCTAGATGTCCTTAAAGAACTCAAAACTTGTTTCTGTTTCTGATTTTGTTTTTTTAATGCTGAATTTGAGGAGCAAAAAGAAGTCTGGAGGGGCAAGGCCAGGGATGGAGGGCGGATAGGGTAAGGTTTCTCATCAAAATTATCATGGGACAGCCCTGGCCACCCTTAAAGAATGGCAGGTGCATTGTGGTGGGGAGGCAAAAGGCCTCCGTGCGACATTCTGACTTTTCACTCACCAATGTAGTCTTCAATGTTCTTAAAACTTCGTAATAAGGCAGTCTGGGTTATTGTATGATCATACTATCAACATTACTCTATGTGGTCCCCCCACCCCCAAAGCAGTCACCGCAACCTTCTGAGCTGACTGCTCTATCAGGAATGTCAGTGGCCCAGCAGATCCTCTGGAAGCCACCGCGTTGACCGGACCTTTTTCCTGAAGGCACTTTAAGAAGTCTGTGGAGCGTGTGTTACTGAGAGAACTAGCCTGCAGCCGTCCATGGGTGGCAGGGACAATGGTTAACACATTTTATTTGAATAAGCCTGTGCATGCATGAACTGAAACCCTAGTAACACTACTTTTTTTCTTTATTATTCATGTGATTATTTTCTTCATTGTGCCAAAAATAAACACAAGAAAACATTCTCCCATTCAACACTTCTACATGTATAATTCAGTGCCATTGATTATACTCTTCGTATTGTACAGCCGTCACTGACAGCTTTTTCCAAATTATTTCACCACCATTAACATAAGCTCAATGCCCCCTAAGCAAAAACTCTTCCTCCTTCATCCATGGTAACCATTGGTTTCTTATTTTTAGAAGTTTTCTTGATATAATATTCACACATCGGACCATGGCCATTGTTAGGTCGCTTTTAAAAAGAGTTGTCTACTCATCATCACAATGGTTCTAATGCTCCCTCCCCGCCCCTATAGCACTGCTTTTTGACATACCCCTGTACATAGACAAAATGAGCCAATTCTATTCCAATATGAAAACTGCATGCTGAGTCATGGATAGGGCACTTTATTGATTGCCCCATCATTTTAAAGAGTTTCTTAAAATTACCAGCCATGAGTTATGAGGGATCTTGGAAAGCATTCCTGTTGTGTGGACCTCCACGTAGAGAAACCGCTGAGCAGCCCGTTCATTCCGAAAGGATTCAGATCGCTTGATTTGTTTACAGATGCTGTTCCCAAGAACCTTCTCACAACTCAAAACTTGGGGCCCAACCTAATTTTAAAAAAAAATACTTTTACTAATAGTTATGCTGAGCCTTTCTCTAAAAATATCTTTTTTTATTGAATGCAGGCAGAGATTGAGTTCTTGATGTATTATTTCTTTTGGGACTAATGGTACATTTTCCAACTTCAGAAATTGTTTGTCAGACCACAGAAGTATCAGATTAAACGAATGCGGCGACTACCTCAGGACAGTAATATTTTATTCTGTTTTCCTTCCAAGAACGTAACTGTTCATAGTGACTACAGCTAGTTATTCTTCCCTTTACAATTTATTAGCTTTAGGGGATTGTATTTCATTTTTCTCCATTTGAGTAGCCTTTGTGTTTGTTTTCATGCAACAGGGACAAATGGGGTTTTGTTTTGTTTTGCTTTTCATTTGAAGACACTAGACTTTGTTCTGTTTTAATTACAAAAACGTTGAGATTTGAATGAACGCAGCATATTGTCCTTTCAGATAGCCAGGCAATATTTGCAAGATCTATGTAGCCCTAGGAGTTACACAGATAATAGGTCTGGGATATTTTAACAACAACCCTTTGGGAATGTACAGGCTCTGCCTTGGGGCACTCGGTGTTGATCTGATTGCTGATCTCAAATGGTTTTGTTTTACACAGAAACAAATAGATCTCAATGCTGCTATTCAAGCCTTGATTGAGTCAAATGCTGCCCTACAGATGGAGGTAATATATCTGGCCTTATATTTATTGGCACTCTCGATATGCAGGACTTTTTTTTTTTGCATGTGTATAGAGACCAAAATGTGGCTTTATCTCAAAGATTGTATTTAAAACAGATTGAAAATGTGGAACCATTTTCCAGGATAAAGTAAGCTATTTTAATACATTGAAATAGAAATATATGCATGGGATGTTTTTTAAGGATAACATTTAAAAACAAAGATGTAGCATTGCTAAAGAATTTATAAGGGATTTGGTACTATAGAAGAAAATTGGTAAATAAAGCTAAACACATTCCTTAAAATGAGCTCAATCTATTATTGCCACTAATGAAGTTTAGAGTGTTTTTTACATCTTACTCCCAATTCACAACGCACGATGTTTTTGTTTTGGGCCCACATACTTAGGATGCTATTCTATGCTTGTTTACTAATGTGATTCTTATGACATTGGCAGAGCTACCAGAACACTGAAGTGACTTTGCTGGATCACAGTGCAGACATATTCAAAACCCTGAACTACCTGAGCACCCTATTGCACAGCATCAAGAATCCTCTTGGCACACGAGACAACCCAGCGCGAACCTGCAAAGATTTGCTTAACTGTGAACACAAAGTGTCCGATGGTAAATGCTTGGCTCCTTGAAACTCTGGAGGCTCGTTCCATTTTTGTCATTTTTGTGTGATTGAAATTCACAGTGCCTTCCTTCCAAATCTCAGTCAGTTTGATAAGATCGCAGCAAGATACACTTTAAATGCTCTCAAGAACTAAATAGTCTTTCAGGGCGACCTGTTTCTGCTTTCTTAGTGTCCTTGGTAAAGAGTTCACATGATGAAGGTCTTCTACTACACAGCCTTACCGAACCCCAACTTTTCCCACTCCCTCTCTACTTAATATCACTTGCTCGTACTTTGTACTTGGAAGGTGGCACACTCGTTCTTGCCATAAAACAAGGTTATTTTCAAGTTGACAGTGGGACATTAGTCCAACACCAGGAAATGTATCCTGGAGCTCCTTCCATCACATGCTCTATCCGTGGAAGTCTAGGGTTACTTTTTTATTCAAAATGAATTTTAAGTGCTACCTTCTAGAATTAAATGGAGTAGTTCCTCTTCCTGGGAATTTCTCATCCCCTTCACTAATACCAAATTCATATTCAGAAGTGCAGAAGAGTGAATTTGGAATAGAATCTCCAAGGAAAAGTTTTAAACTAAGAGCAGTCATCAGTCAAGGATGGAACACCCGGTCTGGTGCAATATGTCATTTCATTGTAATTTCTATTTGATCTATGGTCCGTCAGCTATGCAATCAAGACCAGTGTTTTGTTTTTGTTCTGTTTTGCTAAAACATCTAGTCTCAGCATGGTGACACACATACTGACTTGGGGGTGGGGGCAAAAAACTGTTAATTGTGTTTATCATTTAATTGTATATACCCATCTAACTTTAGCCCCACCTCCACTAGTTGGTTCGTTTTCGGTGGAGTCCATATGTATCAGAGTAGAACTGCCCCATTGGGCTTTCCAGGGCTGATTCTTCAGAAGTTTACCACCAGGTCTTTCCTCCAAAGCACCGCGAGGTGTAATAAGACTTCCAACCTTTCAGTTAGAGCCTAGCACTTACCCTCTTGCAGTAAACATATATGATTGTGTGTGTGTGCCCATGTAAAATATCTGCTTCTATTCTAAACATGCAATGTAAACATTCACTAATACTTAATTCCTAGATACCTCTTGCCCTAGATTACTACAAAAAGTAAAATAATCGATACAAAATTCAGTTTCCTATAATAATTCTAAACTTGATTCTGTCCTGTATTTGTGAATATCAAAATCATCCAGTTCTATAGAATCGAAAGGAATAAAGACATGAAACATATAAATCACTATGGAACATAATTCAAGATCTGATTTACTTATAGAATAAATAACTAGCTAGTAAACTGCAGAGTGCCATAACGCACCTTATGCCAAAAAATACTTTCATAACCAGTTTACCTAAATCAAAGAGGGAAAAAAAACCCAAAACCTCAATGCCAAAAAGTCAATTCAGACTCAAATTGACCCTCTAGTACAAAGGAGAACTATCTCTATAGGTTCCCCAGGCTGTAAGCCTTTATAGGGCAGAAAGCCCCATCTTTCTCCCATAGAGCAGTTGGTGGGTTTGAACTGTCAACCTTCCAGTTATCAGCCCAGCCTGTAAGCCACCAGGCCACCCGAATGCCCTCTGACTTACCTCGGCAATTAAAAGTGCACTGGAAATTTGTTTGATGGTTTAAGAAATTAAGCATTAAGTTTACTCCTCTCTAAGTGGCATTAGCATAAGAGCAAGTATTCACAGGGACAGAAACCCTTGGGGTTGAGCAGATTGTCCATTTAGATTTAAAATCACCCCAAATAGTACCATAAATAGATTGTCTGAAAAATCACTGCCAGTCTGAAGTTAAAATCTTCAAGGAATGAAAGTTGATGATTACAAATGTCCCCTCCACCACTTTCCCCCCCTGTGTAAATGATTCAATAGTTCTCCAAAGGTGACCTCTGGACCAGAATCGGCTGGGATTTTGTTAGAAATGCAGATTCTCGGGCCCCACACCAAATCTAACGAACCCGCGGCTCTGGGAGTGGGTACCAGGGTTCTGCACTCTCATGGATCAGTCGGTAATTTCCGTACGTTTGAGATCATGGCAATAAAGGAGAGCCTCATCCTCTAAGCTGCCAACCAGCAAGTGTACATTTTCAGTGGTTAACAGTAGCCTAGTGTAGAAGAGTTGCGATTATTTGGGGAACTCTCAAATGCTGGGGTGGAGGAAGCCTAGGATGAGCTAGAGGAATACGTGTTATGAAGTATGAGCAGGGGCTTGAAATGATGGGGCTTGAAACCATTAATCTTTTGGCTCAACTACTAGCCAAAAGATTAATGGTTGGAACCTTCAGAGAGATGCGTCGAAAGAGAAACCTGGTGATCCATTTCTGAAGAGTCCCGGCCTTTAAAACCTCACGGAACATTTCCACTACATGGAAACTACCAGCAGTACAAGGGAGACTGGCCAAGAACCTCTACCTAGTACAGAAAATGACATTGGACAGAAACTGTCTAAGGTCTTACGTATTTTTGCAATAAGAAAAGAGCGCTGTTCTGCCCTTCGCATTTGGAACAAGATACTTTGTTACATATTCTGAGTTGGCCGGTCTGTAATTTAAATGCTAGCTCGGGCTTTTCATCCGGAGGATTTCCATGAGTCTGACTTTAGGCCCCATTTCACTGGCCTCTGGGTGTTATGTAAGGAGAGCTCCGCAGGCTTACTGCTAGCAGGAAGGACCAGTTCTTTCCTTCTTTTCCAAGACCTACTTTTAAGCCTGAAGAAGAAAACACGGAAATGGTGACCATTTAATTGTATTTTTTTCCTCTCTAGAAACAATGTCTTATTATTTTTGTTAGCTTTAATTATCAGTATTCCAGTGTTTTAAAAATTGCTTCTGTTTTATACAAAATGTTTATTTAAGCTCTGTAAGGAGTTAGAACAGAAATATATGCATATGTTACATAAACTTCAACTCTTCTAGTGACTGTATGACTTTAAACAATTAACTTTAACTTGCTGGTGTACTTTAAGTGAATGCATATTTTTAAGTACATTGTTTCTACAATGCCTTCAAGCAATAAACTCAATCTTTCTATCATCTTTGATTGGAATTACAAAATGCCTAGAAATATTTATTCACTATCAGTTTTATGCAATGCTTGTGGTTTTCATTCATTCATTAATTGTAAATATATTTATATTCTAAACTTTTAAACATGTAAGGCTGTAATAAGCATGTTTAAAGCATTGTGATCACTTGTACAGACTGTTCAAATATATTTGGCACGATGATTCATTGAAAGCAGAAAAAAGAAAGCTTCCCACTCCTGTAAAGAGTTAGTCTCATAAAGCCACAGGGGCGATTCGAACTTGTCTATAGAGTCTCTATAAATCAGAATCTAGTCTAAGGCAGTGAGTTGGGGCTTTGGCTTCATTTAAATAGCTGTGTTGTTATAAATTCACAGGAAAATACTGGATTGATCCAAATCTCGGATGTTCTTCAGATGCCATTGAAGTTTTCTGTAACTTCAGTGCTGGAGGCCAGACATGTTTATCTCCTGTTTCCGTTGCAAAGGTGTGTATGAATTTCAGAATAGATCGCAGAACTTGCCCTGAACTCATGGGCAATGAATGTTAAATTTTCATCACTTTTATTTTAATCATTTTATTGGGGGCTCTTACAGTTCTTATAACAATCCATACATCAATTGTATCAAGCATATTTCTACATATGTTGCCATCATCATTTCCAAAACATTTTCTACTTGAGCCCTATAAGCTCCTCTCCCCACCCTCCCTTCCATACCGTCCCACCCTCATGAATCCTTGATCAATTATATATTGTTGTTATTATTTCATATCTCACACTGTCCTTTTTCTCCCTTCCCCCCCATGTCTGATAGCTGTCCCCTTTTGTGTGGGGGCGGTGTGTGTGTGCATCACTTCTAATACTTGTGAATTTTATAAGTAAAAGCATTTTACGTACCTAGTTCTGCCAAAAACAGATTTATTACAAGCAGGTGGCTGTAAAGAATGATGATTTATTTTCTCACCATTCTGAAGGTCTTAGCGCTATCGATAGCTTCTGTGAACCTCTGTCCTACTTTGTAGTAACTGCTAGTGATCCTGAGCCTTCCTTCAGGTGCCCTGGTATATGTCCTTTCACTGTTGTCTGCTCTGCTGTGCTTATAAGCAGAAGCAATTAGATTTAGCACCCACCACACAGGCTATAACATCAATAACAGCAGAATAAAACCTATGTCTAAGCAGTATCCCAACCACGAGTACAAGGCCAGGCATTCAATAAATATTTTTTGCAATAAATATTTTGAGGGAGCACAATTTAATCCAAAATATAAAGCAAAGGATGATTATCGTCGATAAGAAAGAATTTTTTTATCTACTCTCAATAAATCTTGACATTTTAATGAATTTTTATAATGGTTTTGCTTGGTTTATTTTACTGATTATGTTTTCTTAAATTCTCTTTTAACATATTTTTAATACTTTTACATGCATTAGAAATAATACATGTAAACGGTCCCTGTGTTGATAATTGGTAATCAGTAACCTAAAATTTTGCTGATGGGTCACAGCATCATTAGAAGACTTATGCACAAGGTTTGCTTTTTTTGGTAATTGGACACAAAATAACCTTCTTTCCGTATGCATTTCATACCATTTAAAACTTTTTTCAAGTATAATTTGGTAGCCAATGTTTCGAGTGAATGATAGATATGATACTGGATGCTGTAACAAGATTTCGTGAAAACTAAAGCCTCATTCGACTTTGAGTGTGTTGAAGACAGAACTGAATTCCTTTTGTTTTAGAATTCATCTTATCAGCTGGGTATCATTGGTATCGTTAGATTCTGTCAAGTCAGTTCTGACCCGTAGTGACCCGATGCGCAACAGAAGGAACCCCCACCCGGCCCTGTGCCATCCTCAATGGTTCTTAGGTTTGAGTCCATTACTGTAGCCACTCGGTCATTCCATCTCTTCCAGGTTCTTCCTAGTTTGCTGCCCCTCTATTTTACCAAACATGATGTCCATTTCCATGACAACATGTCCAAAGTAGGTGAGAGGCAAAGTCTCATCATCCTTGCTTACAAGGAGCATCTTCCAAAATAGAGGTGTGGGTTCTTTTGGCGCCCATAATGCTTTCAATATTCTTTGCCAGCACCAAAGTTCAAAATACACTGATCCTTCCTAAGTCTTCCTTATTTAGTGTCCAGCTTGCTCATTCAAATGAGACGAATGAAGATACCATGCCTTGGGTCAGACACACCTTAGTCCTCACGGTAACCTCCTTGCTTTCCAACAACTTAAAGAGGTCTTGTGCAGCAGATTTACCCAATCCGATGCATCATTTACTCTCTTGACGTCTCCTAACATCATCATTGTTTGTGGATCCAAGCATGAGTAAATCCTTGACATCAGTCTTTTTTCCATTTATCATGGTGTTACCTATTGTCCAGTGATGAGGATTTGGGTTTTCTTTACATGGAGTTGTAATCCATACAGAAGGCTCCAACCTTTGATCATCACCATCAAGTGCTTGAAGTCCTCCTCACTTTCAGCAAGCAAGGTTGTGTCATCTGCATACCACAGGTTGTTAATAAGCCTTCCTCAAATCTTAATGCCGCATTCTTCTTCATATGGTCCAGCTTCTCTATTTGCTCAGCATACATATTGAATAAGTATAATTAAAGATTACAACCCTGATTCGTACTTTTCCTGAGTTTAAGCCATGCAGTATTCCCTTGTTCTGTTTGCACAATTGTCTCTTGATCCATGTACAAGATCCACATGAGCACAATGAAATGTTCTGGAATTCCCATTCTTCTCAAGACTACTGATGGTTTGCTATAATCCACACAGTCTAATGCCTTGGCATAGTCAGTGAAACACAAGTAAACATCATTCTGGTAGTCTCTGTTTTTAGCCAAGATTTATCTGATATCAGCAATGATATCCCTTGTTCCATGTCCTCTTCTGACTGAATCTGACCTGAACATCGAGTAGCTCCCTATCAATGTCCTGCTGCAATCATTATTGGATGATCTTTAGCAAAACTTCACTTGCACTTGATATTAATGATATGGTTGTATAATTTGGACATTCTGTTGGGTCACCTCTATTTGAAATGATCACAAATACAGATCTCTTCCAGTCAGTTGGCCAAGTAGCTATCTTCCAAAGTTCTTGGCATAGACAAGTGACTCCTTCCAATGTTTCATCAGTTTGTTGAAACATTTCTATTGGTATTCCATACATTCCTGGAGCCTTGTTGTTGGCTAGTCCTTCAGGTTAGCTTGGCATTCTTCCTTCAGCATCATTGGTTCTTGCTCCTCATATGCTACCTCTTGAAATAGTTGAATATCAACTAATCCTTTTTGGTACAGTGACTCTGTGTATTCTTTCCATCTTCTTTTGATGCCTCCTAAAACATTCAATATTTTGCCCATAGAGTCTTTCAATATTGCAACTCGAAGCGTGCGTGTATTTTTTCTTTTTGGTTTTCTAACTCTTTGCACATTCTTTGTAATAGTTTGTCTTCTCAAGCTGTCCTCTGATGTTTTCTGTCCAGCTCTTTGATTTCATCATTTCTTCCATTTGTCTTAGTTATTTTATAATTTAGAAAAATTTCAGAGTCTCTTCTGACATCCACTTTGATCTTTTAAAAATAAAACTTTCTAATTACCTTTTGCTTTCTTCATGTCTGATGTTCCTGATGTCACTCCACAGTTTATCAGATCTTCTGTCATTTAATGTTCAATATGTCCAATCTTTTCTTGAAATTTTCTCAAAATTCAGGTGGAGTATACTCAAGATTGTAATTTGGCTCTGTGGACTTGTTTTAATTTTCTTCAACTTCAACCTGAACTTATAAAGGAGCAACTGATGATCTGCTTCACAGTCAGCCCCGGCCCTTGTTTTAGATACTGATATTGGGCTTCTGCATTGTCCTTTCCCACAGATGTAGCCAATTTGATTTCTGTGTATTCCATCTGAAGAAATCTGTGTGTATAGTCATTGTGGAATTACATTGATTATATATTTGTGTTGTCTGGTGGAAGGATGAGGGCAGTTTATGTGATGAAGTTGTTGGTTTTGCAAAATTTTACCTTGTGATCTCCAGCTTCATTTCTATCACCAAAGCCATATTTTCCAACTACTGCTCCATCTCTTTGTTTTCAACATCTATAGTCTAAACACCAGTCAGTCCAAGTACCAGTCATTATCAACACACCTTGATTGCACGATCTATTGATTTCCCACTGAAGTTGTTGATAAAATTCTTCCATTTCTTTATCGCTAGCTTTAGTGACTGGCTTACTCAAATAAATTTGAATTGTAGTTGTATCTAGTGGAGTTCCTTTTTTCTTTTTATTAGCTGCATATTACCAACTGCTTATTTCCCCCTGACAAAGAATGTATAGCCAGGCTTTGGGTTCATTTTGCTCATCAACACAAAATGTCATTTGTCAGTCTCTTTAGTAACTTATTGTTTGTGAACCAGCGTGTTTCACTGATTCAAATCAACAAGCATCCATCATTATTATTCCCAAAATGGAGATGGAAAGATTCCTAAGGAATTAATCTGCAGTCCCCTAGAAGTTTGCCCAGAACTTTTACTTGGATTATAATAAAAAGAAAGTGTACGAGGGTGGTGGAGGTGGGAGACAAACAGAGGTGCTATAAACAGTGAGTGTGCTGCACACCCTACTTCTTTCCATGTCTGAATCAGTTCTCTCCTTTTTCCTATCCATTCACTCAATCCGAAGAATCTGGTGAGATGGTAGAAAGAATGCAAGCTTGGGGTCAGAGATTGAGTTCTAGAGTCTTCTCCTCCACCAGCATGGTGAACGGTGCACTCGGCACCATACGGCCTGCTCTGAGCTGGTATTGGGCTCTTTGGCAGCACTAATCTGCATAACAGTCTGTCCGGTCCCTTGGATAAACTACTTTCCCAGCAAGGAAATTAAGACTCAGAAATATAAGTTTTTGAGGACGTCTGTGAAATGGAGGAATCAGAACACTCAGACTCTAATGTTCCTTATTACTCTCCTCCCATGTTTTATCCTGATGCCCCTTTACCTTCCTCCTCTTTTCCAGAGGCTTCTAATTGGTGACAATGGTTTTTGTTGTTTTATTTTTTCCCCTTTGTCCCCTGAGTTTTCTAATTTCATATTTGGAAATTAACATAAATTCCTTAGTATACACTTTTTCTGTTCATTTAAGTTATGATCACAGCCCTGTTTGACTAGCGCTAAAATAACAACAATAATAATGGGTGTAAAGTTGAAAGATCTTCCTTGTCCTAGACTAGGAAATGTGCAATCCGACTCCCTAGCTCCAATTTTCTCCTACAGCATTCTTTTCTGTACTTGTCCGCGCTTTCCTGTGGCCAACAGACATCTGTTGATGAATTACTGAATGCCTGGGCTGGCAATGCGAAGAATAAGGTTGTTGGGTTTTCTAAGATTCTTTTCTTGTCCTTTTAGACTCTCCCAATTAAAATTACTTTAAAAATTATTATTCTAACTTATAATATATGTTTGGAAACACACACCAAAAATAATCTCCAAGTAATGACATAGAATTTCAGATTTTATGACAAAAAATATATAAAAGCATTAACCAGCAGCAAATTATTACTGCATTTTTGGTAATGTTGTGCAAAAAAAAACCTATCTTGTTTTTTAAATGATATGTACTAACAGAGAGGTGTGCTGTTGCCAGTTCTTACTAGTTCAGGAGAGCAAATTGCCATCTCTACCCCTCATGTCTAGTGATAACATGTTTATTGCCTGAACCAGTCATCATGGAAGTACTATATTTATACTAAGGAATTCAAAACATGATGTAAATCTGGGATTTTTTTTTTCCTCCAGAGGACCAATGGTTACACATTCACCAGGACATATTTGAGTTATACTTAAAATCTCAGGAAAGTAGCTTTCTCAGGGCTGCCTGGTTCCTCAATTTGTCCGTGGACCAGCAGTTCTCAACCTGTGGATCGCGACCCCTTTGGGGGTCAAACAATCCTTTCACAGGGGTCGCCTAAGACCATCGGAAAACACATAAATATTTCACAATATATAATTACATGTTGTTTTGTGATTAATCGCTATGCTTTAATTATGTTTAATTATGTTCAATTTGTAACAATGAAAATACATCCTGCATATCAGATGTTTACATTATGATTCATAACAGTAGCAAAATGACAGTTACGAAGTTGCAAGGAAAATAATGTTATGGTTGGGCTCACCACAACATGAGGAACTGCATGAAAGGGTCACAGCATTAGGAAGGTTGAGACCCGCTGCCCTGTACTATAAGTTGTTCTGTTGCCACATCTCAGAACCTGCATATTGTTTCTATTATACTAGTTGGAGTTTGGAGTTGGGAAAGTCCAAATGAACTTCATTCATTTACTGAGCTCAGAAGCCACCCATCTCATCACTATTCACTGTCTAAACACCCCACTGTGGACAAGTGGACAGCCAAGTGGCTCCGGACTGCCTATTGGTTTCAAAGGATGGAATGGACAGATTTTAGAAGAAAACACTCTACTTGAACCTAAAGTACTTGCAGATGATTGCAAGGTAAGAGAATGGCACTTACTGAATTATTCATGTAACTAACTTAAACTTGATAAAACTATAAAGGAATAATGAGAGTAAGACTTTATTGCAATTTGCAGGTGTAGAAACAACTTTTATAATAGTAATACAAAATAATAATTTTATAATAGCTTTTACTGTGCCTGATTTATTACTACCATACAATTTTTGTAATTGTTTATTTGCATATATCTTGTTCACTTTTATCACTCCAATTGGTGATCATGGATCTTTACATGAGAATATGTTTTAATACACAAATATTAACTTTTTTTCTCCCCTATGAAACAATTATATCTCACCTAGATAAATAGTTAAGTAGTTGTAGCATATATATTCAAAAGAATTCCTTCGTGTATTTTCACTAGTGTGATTCTACATCTCATTACTGCATGGAGGACAAGTTAAAAAAGTAAATTGATTTTAGTTCATTTTGTCAATTCCTATGCCTGATACCAGAAAGATGGGGTTATCACACCCATGAAGAGTTAAAATCTTGGAAATCCATAGGGACAGCTCTACCCTGTCCTAAAGGGTCTTTATGAGTTGGCATTACCAATGACAGTGCATTTGGTTTCAGTTTTGGTTATGCCTGACAACACATGTGGGTATAATTGCAGATACACGGGCCTAACTAATTCATATTGGAATTGTAGCCCATTTTTCCAATGGAAATTAATATTATGAACAACCTGTCATTTTAAAGCATTCTGTTATTGAGCAGGTATCAGCAAGCAGTAGCCCACCGACTAGGCCAGAGCACTGCCTGCCTTTAAGAAGAAATGTCAACTGAGGCACAGCCATGTGCTTGCATCATTTACTATCTCTGTCTTCCTGCTACAACGTCAGAGTTGAATAAACGGGGCAGGGTCAAAACCCAGAAAACCTAAAATATTTACTATCTTTCCCTTTACATTAAACATTTGCTGGCTCCTGGTAGAGAAAGTAGAGTTGTCCGCATTAGGTATGCATCATTAATTACTTAGTTTCCTGGTTTTGTGTCCTGTGAAACCCCTGCTTTAGCATCCCCCACTATTTCCATGTCATACAGTGGGTTATGCGTCAGGTTGCTACCTATAAGTTGAGCAGTTCAAAACCACCAGCAGCTCTGCAGGAGAAAGGTGAGGCTCTCTACTCCTGTAAAGGGTTACCATCTCAGAAATCCACAGGGACGGCTCTACTCTGCCCTGTAGGGTTGCTGGGGGTCAGAATTGACTTGACGACATGGAGTTTGTTTTTGTTTACCAGAAGACTCCTCCCCCCACCCCAACATTTCATTTGTAGACAAGTAGTTCCTCCAGTAAAAAGCAATAACGCTTGGACTTAGAAAAATCATAGTGAAACAGTAAGAAGCCTATGACTTTTTATTCCCTATTTTAAGAGTTCAGTATCATCAACAAATTCATTTAATTTTTTTCAATATTTCCCAGAACTTTGAATGACTCACTAGTGCCTCTGAGACACAATCCCAAAGGATCAACACTCTAGTCAACGCTGGCTTATAATATTCAGACCTCCCCACCCGCACCCCCATCCTACCTTTCCAGTCCGGGCTCTCATTGACTCTCCACACTACACTATGACCAAACTGATATAGAAATAATGATAGCAACAACTGCTACTGCTTAGTAAAGGCTTGCTGTAGAGCAGGCATTGTTGGTTACATACACTACTTTACTTACTCACAACAGCTTTGTGCAGTTGTCCACATAAGCGCTGAGAAGCTGGCAGCACTGAGAAGGAACCTGCCCAAGACCATGCAGCTCACTCGCAGATCAGCAAGACATTAAGCCCAGTGTGGGCATATCCAAATCCACACTATACTGCTAGAGAATTTTAATTGAAATTCCATTTGATTCTCAAAATCCTGTGAGTTGGGTTTTTCTTATTCCCATTTTATATGTGAGGAGAGTTGTGGTCCCTGGATTTCTGTAGAAATCTGTCCAAGCCCAAAGTTTGTATTTCTTGTTCCCATGCTAGATTGATTTCCATGGCCATCTCTTGCTTCCTAAACTGTTTTTCTTATTTGAATGCCATTCTCTTTCTCTGAAATGCCCTTCTCTACCTCTCTAATCAGGTGAAACTTTTAGGTAGATCTTGAGACCAAACTTCTGAATTTATTGCAAACCTTTCCTTGTCTGCTATTGGAATAAGGAATTTAACACTTATGGTTTACACTATTTATATCACATGCATCATGAATGGTTTTACATTATGATTATTTATTTCTCTTCTCTTCAACTAGATTAGTAAGCTCATAGAATTAAAAAGTCAGATTAAATGTATTCATCTTTGCCACAGAGTGGCAGAATAGACTTTTTTTTAAAGAAGCACCATCATGGAGAACAAATGCTTGTGCTTCACACAATGGATGTGTGTATGGATTGTGATAAGAGTTGTATGAGCCCCCAGCAAAGTGATTTTTAAAATGTATTCATCTTTCCATTTCCCACAGCATAAGGTTTATTAAAAATTATATCATATCAAATTAAGAATTATATCTTGTGAAACTTTGCTAACTGTACTTTAACATTCAATGCATGTTGCTTGAAAGACTTAATAAATGAATCTTCTAGTGTCTTACATACAGGATTCTAGTTCCAATTATAGCACTAAACTTACGACACGTGACTTCAGGGAGCTTCAGATGCCTTCACTGTGCAATTAAACTTCTTGCTTATATAATCACTAACATTCTTTCAAACTTTAAAATTCATCACATAATAATATGAGTGATTAAATGAATAAACTTCTGAATTAAAAACTCCATGAAACTTGTTAACTATATGAGTGTTTCTCCTCTTTATCTTGTTGGATCTTGATCACAAAATATTTTGTTCCACAACAGAATTTATTAGAAACAAAGGAACATACAGTAGTAAGAGAGAAAAAAAAGACACTGGAGAAAGATATACTATAAATAAGGAGTCACCTAATGTAAAAGGAGAAGCTTAAAAAGTGATTCAGTATAATGATAACTAATTCTGATCAAGGCAATCCTGGTTATATCCTTCTAACATACAAAGATGTTGAAATCGTTCATATCCTTTCATCCAAGAAGCATACTCATTCTTTAAAAAAAAAACGCATTGCCTTCGAGCCCATGCCGACTCATAGTGACCCTATAGAATTGAGTAGAACTGCCCCTGTGAGTTTCCAAAGATGTAACTCTTTTTTTTTTTTAATCATTTTATTGGGGGCTCATAACAACTCTTATCACAAACCGTACATCAATTAAATCAGGCATGTTTGTATCTATGTTGCCCTCATTCTCTTCTAGACATTTACTTTCTATTGAGCCCTTGGTACCAGCTCTTTTTTTCCCTGCCCCCCCCACCCTCATAACCCCCCAATAGATTGTATATTGATATTATTTTCATCTCTTATACCTACCGCTGTCTCCCTGTCCCCATGTTTTCCCCTGTAGAGGGGCATATGGTTATTTGTCGATCATTGCGATCGGTTCTCCCTTTCTCCCTTCCACTCCCCCTCTTCCCCCTACCCTTCCTGCTTCACCATTCCCACTCCAGGATTCTGTGTGTCAAGAGCTCCCATCCCTTTCTATACCTGTGCACATGTTCCAGTCTAGTCTGAACAGGGAAGCAGCACTGGAGTCATGGTAGTGGGGAGTGAGGAAGCCTCAAGGAACCAGAGCAATATAGTGTAGCATTAAATTAAAAGTGATGCTGGGGAGTGGGGTGCCAGCCCCACCCGCTGCTTGAACTCACTGGTTCAGTAATACTACTTCTGGGTTCAGTAATGCACAATTGTACGGTTGAGATATATAAGCATTATATTAGTCATCAAGAGCATGAGAGATAATACAATAATACAGTCAGACATATTACATGGTAGCATTGCTCACCTCCACCCTGCTTGGTGGTCCTCGTGGGGGGAACCCGGCTCCCTCGCGGGAGCTGCCCTCTCATCTACCACCCTCATGGGAGCAGCCCTCCTTCCTCAGTCGCCCCCTGCCAGCCACCGTTGGCCAGCCACCCTCTCCAGCCACCTCTCAAGAGCCAGGGAGCCTCCTTATTTATTGCTAACCATGCATCATATTACTTTAGGGGGATACATCACAGCATCATGCTTCACAGAGAGGGGCAATACAATTCACAATAACCTGCGTCATAGAGAGGGGTTGTAACATAGGCAATACAAGCAATAGGAGGGGGATGACCTAGTCATCTTAGAGTGGTCCCGGGCTTGCCTTTGGGCACTGCTTCAAGGGAACAATAACAGAAAGGAATGGGCCCTATTTGGGGTGAGTCAGGCTATACAGTCTGGCTGCTCTAGATGGCTGATGTTAAGGAGAATAACCTCTGACCTATTTTCGCTGTCTAAAGAATAGTCATTCTCAAGCTAAGTCTTGCATATATTTTGGGGAGACAACTTAAGAGAAATCCTTCTGTTCCTCACAATATAGTGTGTTTCAATGATGTTTTACTGCGCCCTGGTGACTCATCCCCTCTCTGTGGGGAAATTGTTCCACTATCTACAGATGGACTTTGGATCTCTGCTCCAGCCCCCCTCGTTCGCAACAAAATGTTTTTGTTTGTTATGTGTCTGCTGATGCCTATTACCCAGTCCCTATGACTCCTAATGATCACACCGGTGGTGTGCTTCTTCCATGTGGACTTGTTGCTTCGATGCTGAATGGCGGCTTGTATAACTTCAAGCCTTTAAGACCTCTATATCTTTTAATAGCTGGGCACCATCCGCCCTCTTCACCACATTTACTTATGCACCTGTTTGTGTCAGGAAGGTGAACATCTTAGACTGCCAATTGGTTCGAAAAAAGTGTTCTTGTATTGAGGGAGGGTATGAGCAGAGACCCTAAGTCCATCCCCTACCTCAGTGTATTGCCTTATAAATAGAGGCATTGGTCTATATATTTATAAGGCTGAAACTCTTAACAGGAGTAGAGAGCCCCATCTTTCTCCTGAAGAGCAACTGGTGGTTTTAAATTATGGGCCTTGTGGTTAACAACCAAATATGTAACCACTACATCACCAGAGCTCCATATTCCACCTTAAGATTACCAAAGAAAGTGATACAGAACAGACAGATATTACTCATATTATGAGTAGAGACCATCTTTCCTTCATATCTAGCACAGTGGTCCACAGACAAGAGAAGAGCCTTCCCTTTGCCTCTGAAAGTGAAATATCTTGCCAATGTAATTAGCAGAAAAAAGGAATAAACCCAGGTTTCCAATTATCCATAATAATTGTTATCACTTGTTGAGCACGTAATGTGCGTCAGTCATTGTTCTAGGCACTTAAATATCTAATCATTAACAGAACTCTACATGGTTGAAAAAGGGTATTGTCTACTGAAATGACTGCTAATGGCACTGTTATGTATGAGAACATTTCATTCTTATTTTACAGATTCAGGATGGCAGCTGGCATAAGGCAACATTCCTTTTTCACACCCAGGATACTAGTCAACTCCCAGTGATTGAAATACAAAAACTTGCTCATCTCAAAACTGGAAGGAAATACTTCATTGAAAGCAGTTCTGTATGCTTCCTCTAAAGTCTCTGAATTAGCTCAGAATCCATGCTGTTGGCCAGGTTATTGCTGCAGATGGGGAAAATATAGACAGAGAAATACTATCACTATGTAATGCATGGGATAAAGCATTGGCTAAGTCTTAATGAATCTCAGGAAGAAAAGACTTCCTCCTAAGAAGGAGAAAAGGCATTTTATAAAGGACTATAATTGATAAGGTATTTAATTCTTTTAAAAGTTATGTTGATCTGAGCTTTCTTAGAGAATTCCATAGAACTGAAAATTTATGAACATGGAATTCTTCAGGGTATCCTATATGTTTTGATTGTCAATAGCAAAGTACCCATTAGACAGCTGGAGACGCAGAGCACTATGGGACAATACTGGCTAATGTTCCCAAGTGTGTAATGCTTCTGTCTAAAAGTTATAAGCCACAGTCCTGTATGTCTTATTTTCCCAAACACTAAGCTGTATTCAAGTCCCCAGTGGGCATGTACATCTTAGCCGGTGATCCACTACCTCTTCTGTGTTGCCTTTGTCTTGCTTGGTGCTCTCTCTTTGGAAAGGTGCTTGTGGCTCGCATAGACTTTTATTCCTTATTTTGTCTTTGTCATTCAAGGGTGTACATGCTGATGATATCAAGATATGTTTTGGTTGTTAGTACTTATTTTAATTTGTTTGCTCACATACTAATAATAACAAGGAAAACATTATTTATGTGAAGCCCTGGTTCTGTTTTTAAATTCTCTTTGTGGCTATGGAATCAAAACCAGCACATTGTATTCTGTGCTTACACGCAAGAGAAATAAGAGGTTTCTTTTGTTTTTATTTTGTTTTTTTAATTGTTGGAAAAAAAAAATTATAGGCCAGCAACATCTGGTAGTAGGTTTGGGTTAGAGTTTGGGAATTATATTGTACTATTTTTTAAATCCATGATCATCTGGAATGATATGTTGTGTGTATATATAAATATATATATATTGTAAAGTTTTAATTCAGCAAACTTTTGAAATTGCTGCTTTGTTAAATTATAAAAATATTATGCTTCTGCTTTTAAGAACATGTCTTATATTATTCATGGACTTTCTTTTGCTGTTTTCAAATTTAATAGGTGGAACTGAAAAGCATTCAATCTACCAGTCTTTAAAGCAATATGAGGGTGGGGGTAGGGGGCAATCTTTTGACACCTAAATTAGGCTCAATTCTGTTTTCCCTTCTAGTCCGACAAATGCTAGTTCAATCTTAAAAGAAAAATAGTATACCTCTCAGGATTCAGAAAAGCTTGTTCATTCGTTTAAACAAACCATTAGCCACAGCAAGACACACTTACTTATCTGTAATAAAAATGGACTTTAAATCATTTTAGTAGAGTTGTTTTGCTTCCTTTATTATCGTATCCTTTTGTTATGAATTATAACACACTAGCATCTTTCTGTATACTGGCCTTACATGTACATTTACCTCTGTATGTTCATATTATGATGAAAAAGTCCATTTAAAATATGCAAAAGAATTACAGGACCTATTTCCTATTTGTACAAAATGGAGTCATGGCAAAGTTATACTGTCCAGTCTCAGAAAGATGTTTTCAATAAAGTAAATAAAAGTTTGTTCCAAATGAAAGAAATTACAATCTGTATTGTAACTTCAGTATACTTGTCATACTTCTGGTAAAATCCAACCAACCAACCAACTAAAAATAACTTAGCTCAGAGACATAAAGACATGCTTCACCTAGAGTTCAGGTAAGAAATTAAGGTATATGCTTTATAATAAGCGTCTTCAAAAAGTTTGTGGAAATTGGAATTAAAAGATAGTAGAATTTTTTCACAAAATTTTGAAGTCCTTTCTTATATTCCTGAAATATTAAATGTAAGGAAATGTTAGTTTCCTAGCAGGCAGTATACTTAAGAGTGCTCTATGAGACTTAGCTGTGTAAGTTTAAGTGTATTATTTATTCTTCAGTATCTCAATTTATTCTATGTAAATGGAGACAATAAAAGTACCTATCTCATTTGACATCCTTCACCTGTTGGTTGGCCATACTGTGATAGCATCTGTGTGGATGTGATGTTGGAAGCTATGCTAATGACCTTTCAACTACCCATCTTGGACAGGTTTCCTTAGAGCTTCCAGACTAAGACAGCTTAGAAAGAAGGGCCTAGTGATGTGCTTCTAAATATATATGTGCACAAAACCCTCAAAATATTAGTAAAACATTGCCTGATATAATAGATGAGAACTTCAGATAAGAAGGTTTGAGCCATACTCAAAGTATGGCTGGCAGAAGAGCTGGCCCCTCAAAGTAATACACCACGACGGCATGGTTGAAGGGACACTTTGGAGGCCATCATGTGTGGATGTGGCAGCATTCTAACTGAGAAAAAATAGCAGCAAACATACAGTTGTGATTAGAATGTGAAATGTGCAACAAATAATTCTAGGAAAGTTGGAAGTCATCAAAAATAAACTGGAACACATAAAGATTGAAATCCTAGGCATCAGGGACATGAAATGGACTAGTCTTGGCTATTGTGAATCTGACAATCAAATAATCTGCTAGGCCTACAATAATAAATGGGAGAGAAATTATATTGCATTCATCATTCGAAAGAACATTTTAAGGTCCATCCTAAAATGTTCAATGATAGGATAATATCCACACATTTACAAAGAAGACACGGTAACACAACTGTTATTCAAATTTATTCACCAACAACTAATGCAAAAAATGAAAAAAAATTGAAGATTTTTTTCCAATTTCTGCAGTCTGAAATTAAACATGCTATCAGAACACATTGATAATTACAGGTTCTTGAAACAAAGAAAGATCAGCAATTTGAAACTATGACCTTGCTTATAGAAATGATATCAGAGAGCACATGATAAAATTTTGCAAGACCAAAAATTTAATTGTGAATGCCGTTTGTCAACAACATAAACAGTGACTACACATGAACCTCTTCAAATGAAATAGCCCAAAAATAAAATCAACCACATCTATCAAAAGAGACAATGAAAATTCATTATAATCAGTCAGATCAAGACCAAGGGCCAACTGCTGGACTTACCGTTAAGTACTAATGTGCAAATTCAACTTAAATCTGAAGAAAACCAAAATAAGTTTATGAGAGCCAAAGTGTAGCCTTTGGTATATCCCACCTGAATTTATACAATGTCAAAAGTAGATTTCATGTATTAAACACTAATGACAGAGCACAAGACATGTTATGGGGATGACATAAAGGACATCATCACATATGAAGACAACAAAATATCATTGAAAAGAGAGGAGAGAAAGAAAAGACAAAAGCAGAGGTCAAAAGATTTGCTAAAATTTGCTCTGAAACATAAATTAAAAAGAATAGTAGAAATGATGAAGTAAAAGAGCAGCACTGCCCCCACCCCCCACCCCAGAAGAATTTACTTCAGCTCAGGGAGAGGACCACTTCTGATCAGAGCACAAAGGAGCAAACTAAGAGAGGGGTAGGGGTGGGGAAGAGTGTGGAACACATCCTGGCCCACCAAACTCCAAGGACAGTATTCCTGCTCAGAGCAACCAATGCACAGAAAGGAC